CCCCCCCCCAAACAAAGAAAGATGCCAACGAGAAAACAAAAGAGAGAATGTTGTTTTCCAAGTCTAAAGAGGATCTTCACTGCAACTGTTCAGAAACTTCTAGAATACAGACTCACATGTTATACTATTGATGACATTTGAGGTAATATCCCGTCCCGCTCTCTTTTTTTGGATAAAGATTATCCCGCTCTTAAAGATCATGTTTCAACAGAACCACCTCTTTTCCCACAATTCCCAATCCCCCTTTCCCGAAGATAGATGCCAATGAGAAAATAAACTAGAGAAAATTTTGCTTTCGAATTCTAATAAAGATCCTCACTAAAATGCCAGAAGCTGAAACAACAAGATACAGCTCAAAGAGGTAACAGTATATTTACCTTGTGTGGTGGACCAATAAAGTCATATTGGACACATCTTCTATTTATCACATCACGGATCAAAAGTTTCTGACCATTGTAAGTAGTCAAGATTGATATCTTATTCGCAGGATATCCAAGTAAACGCATATACATATAGACACTGACTACGTATTCAGCCTCTCCCTCATTCTGATAGAACCAGGGTGAAGGGGCACTTTCACCTCTGCCATTGTAATCGGGTACATCTACCAACTGATAGTCATATGAGAATCCAGCATTTGCTTTATGAAAGACCGCATTCTCTTTCACATAAGGCAGATCCCCCAGTTCTCTGTATCTCCAATTGTAAAGCCGAGCTAAACTTGGCCGTGCCCTACCCTGCGCATTCAACTCAATATATGGAATCCCTAGCCTGACAAATCTTGTGAAGAGACTCTGATCCATGTGGCTGTACTTCTGAAAAGCCATATTTTTCACGACAGGGGGCAATTGATGATGGTCACCAATCAGTATACAGCGTTTAAGCCGAGCATAGCCATCTTCCTGCCTCTGAAGCAACATAGGGATGAAAGTTTCAATTTCCAAAATTTGGGCACTTTCTTCCATCAACAGGTTGTCATACTTGAAACCCACTTGAAGAAAATCCTTCCTTTTAAGTGCCGCATGGGTGCAGGTCATTGCCACAATTTTTGCCTGTTTGGTCATCAGGTAATTAGATCGATCAACAGTGGACTTGAGTAATTCAAATGCCCTACATTCTTCGAGCTCCTGAAACATCGTTTTCAAATGACGAAAGCACCCCTTAGCTGCACGCATGTCCTTTTCAAAGGACTTTCCCGCGAAAACTGGCTGGGGAGTATTAGAAAAAAATTCCTTAAAGGGAAACCGGTCCTGAACAAATGTAGGTTTATCTTGATTTTCAGCGCAAGCAGCTAAAAATTGTTCCCACCGTGAGTATACATGAAGCAGCCAGAAATATCCTGCAGTTTCACA